GGTTTTGGGGTCCAAGACGTGGGTTTCGATCAGGCTGTTGCTTACTGTGTGAACCAGGCCAAGCCACCTCAGCTCTGAGTCTCAATGTCCCCTCCGTAAGGTGGAGACAGCACGAGGAACAAGGCCCTGAGGTTTAAACGAGATAATGCACGCAGATACACCAGGCATCATCTCTGGGCCTCATTCGTATATAAATAAGTACGATTTACGGAGCTGGAACAGAGCAACGAATAAATGACAGACCTAGTATTTCAGAGACCACAGGAAAAGAGAAAAGTACAATAATTATTACGGACTATATACACACCACCTTACAATTTATACAACTTTACAGTTTACAAGCTACTTTTGCATATTTTATAAAATGGACTGTAGAATCTATAAGGAAGCAGCTGAAAGCAAGCAACATCTACTTGTTAAATATATTTTAGTTTAGGGTAACTTTTAGTCACAGACTTGAAAACCCTAAAAGGAAACGCTGATGCACGATTAACAACTAAACTAAAACAATCTGTTGCAAAGTCAAAATTTTAAAAAATTGCAGTAAGGGGCGCCTGGGTGGCTCAGTCGGTTAAGTGTCCGACTTCAGCTCAGGTCAGGTCAGATTTCATGGTTCATGAGTTCGAGCCCCCTGTCAGGCTCTGTGCTGACAGCTCAGAGCCTGGAGCCTGCTTGGGAGTCTGTGTCCCGCTCCTCTCTGCCCCTCCCCCATTTGTGCTGTCTCTCTCTCAAAATAAATAAAACATTAAAAAACTTTTTTAAGTTGCGATAAATACTGAAAAAAATATCATCACATAGGTCTCAGCAGAAACAACGAAACCAAACATTTCCACAGACAGAAAAAGGGTCACTACACGTTGGTTTTCATGGCAGAGATACAAAAGAGAAAAACTGTTTTACAATCTCTGGTCCAATTATAAGTAATCTAAACATCCAACGGGAGCCTGTTCATAATGTGGTGGCATCATCACCACATGTGACCCTCTACTTCTGGTCATATAAGGTTTTATGGCTTGATGAAGGGCTTGGTTATTAAAAAACAAACAGCCCCTAAAATATAAAAACCACCCAAAGAAAACAACCAGAGTTTATGCCTTCAAACACATTTCAAAATCAGCTGTATTCACTGCCCTTCCTTGGAAATATCTGTATTCCTGGAGAATCTGCACACACACGCACACAGCTCAAGCCCTGTCACGGATGCAGGCCGCACCCCTCCCTGCGGTACTCGCAGACCCCTTCGTGCACGCACTGGCCTCTCAGGTCTGAGTCCTAACTCAGCTCTATAACATGCACATGTTTCCTAAAAACTTAATAATTAGGCTAAAAAATTACTTCTGGCCCTCAGAATCTGGTTAATCTTCACATTTGGCGACATTAAGTTTGTTTTCATAAGGAAATTTTGTCCAGATTTCAAAGATAAATTCTCCATATACTCAACATCAATTACAACTGTGATCTTAACAAAGATCATCTAGCAGGGAAACTCCCCTAAACGAGCACTGAAAGGCAGTACAGCCTCGAGGGCAGTGACGACCCGAGTTCCAATCCTAGGTCCACCATTTTCAAGCAGCGTGACCCTGAACAAGTTTGTTTACTTCCTCACTGTTCCTTCCTTGTATCTGTGAAATGGGGGGATGAACAAGACCCTGTAAGGCTGTCGCAGGGGTTGAACGATAAGGCACGTGAAGGTTTAATGCCGTGCAGACTATAGTGAACATTTGGTAAAGAGAGTCCTGTCGTCTGCTGGCTATGTGTGACCTTGGCCAAGCTCCTGAGTCTGGGCACCTGCGGCATCGTCTGGCCCTCCCCTGTTCTCTGTGCTCCACACTCCTGCTCCGGGGCCCAGTGCACCGCGTCTCCCTGTCTGCACGGCTCTGTCTCTCCCTTCATTCAGTTACCTGCCCATGCATCACCTGCTCAGAGATACTTTTCTTCACCAGTTTTATTATTTTTTAAAAATGTTTTTCATTTAAGTAATCTCTATACCCAACATGGGGCTCGAACTCACAACCGTGAGATCAAGAGTTGCCCACTCCTCTGACTGACCCTGCCAGGAGCCCCTCGACCAGAATTGTAAATAGCCTCTCCCTCACTGCTCTTGGTTTAACTGCTTGATTTCAATCCAGCATGTCTGGCCTGTCTCCTCCGTAGACTGTCAACTCATAAGGGAAGAGGGCTGGCCTCGTTTTCACCATCAGACCCCAGCGTCTGGAACTATTCGCTGAGTGAATTACAGTAAGCGGGAAATGTACGACCGGAACAACACCCATCTGCCAGGGTGTGCCACGGGTTAAATGAGATACGGCAGGACACAAAAGCACGTGCTCATGGCTGGCATTCTGCTGGACTGCAGCCTCACCCGGGAGCCTGGAGGCAGAGCGGGCTTGCCGTGGGGGCAGCAGGTGCAGGCTTGTGCAGGAACCGGGGCAGCTGGATCTCTCCCTCGGGTGCCGTAGGGCTTCCAGGCTGCTAGGGAAAGAAGCACCCTCGGGGTGTACAAACAGTACTGGTTTTCTAGGTATCGGAGAAACAGTTCCTGGATTAAGTGTGAGGCAGGCCCCTCAGCCTCTGTGGAAGATACGAACACGCCAATCCCACCGACGTGGTCCAATCCCACTGATGTGGGCGAGCAGCAGGGGGAATGACCAAGGGTCAACAGAAACCCGAAGCCATCGGTGCTGTCGCTAAATATCCCTGGACAGCGAGGACTGTTCTTCACCTGTAGCTGTAAATGCCCAAAGTGACAGCCACGTAGGAAACAGGACCACCGACTCTGAGGACCAGAAAGACTGACACGGACGATGAAAACAGTGTCCGGGCCAGGGGACCGCACAGGTGGGCTGAAAACAGCCGTGAGGAGCTAGGGAGGGGCGCAGGCCCCCACTTTCTGGAAAACAACATGTCGGGTGGGTGGGGGGAAGGCCACTGAGGGCTGAGCTAACGAGTCTAAACTCTGACTGTAAATTACAACTCGAGTTTCTGAGCGGCGAGCTGCCAATTTCAATGAAACACGTGTGACAGCAGTGCAATCAATCAACATGGAGAAGAGACCCAAGGCCGCGGGACAGCTAGGAGGGAACCGTGAAGACCCAGGCCAGACCCGGGGCCGCGGGACAGCTACAGGGAAGTGTGAAGGCAGAAGGATCAAGG